GTGTGTATAAAATTATTTATTCGAAAATTCTAACATAAATTGGTTATTAAATCACTACAAAAATAGCCATTTTGTCTCAACACTTCTCTGGTGTCTTATCAAGTGATGGTTTTGAATGTCTTTTTGACAATTAATAAGCCATCATCGCTATACGATCCTACACTATCAGAATCTAGACATTCAAAGGCACTTAAATTCTGTCCACAGAAGCAATACACCTGCTTTTTATTCATATATACACAATGTGGTCGACACGATACTTCGTAGCTTAGTCTGGTGACGTCTGTCTACAGAAGCGATACTCCTGCTTTTTATTCATATATACACAATATGGCCGACACGATACTTTGTAGCTTAGTCTGGTGACGTCTGTCTACAGAAGCAATACTCCTGCATTTTATTCATATATACGATACTCCCGTGTCTGAAGAATAGCTGAAACGGTGCTTCTGTTTCCTTAGTTCCCAGTTACAACACATAGTATATGGCAGAATCATTTATGTCTGAATTTTTTTCTAAACTGATCCACCAGAAACCAACCATGTACCGAAATCAACCGCGTACCAGAATGCAACATGTAACTAACATATTTTGAATGTTTCACATAATTCCAAAAATAATTCTGTGGGGAATAAGTTTTATAATGTCAAATCCTCACAACCCAATTTAGTTTTTGTTTTGGTATAATAATGGCATATCTGTTATCAAACAATTCCAGGGAATCTCTTACCTCTTAAATATAAAATTGTACACCTGCTATGTTGACCTTACTGAAGCGTACGACCACGCCGATAGAGTTTTTTTTTCTTATTATTATTAGAAACCAGCTTCCAAGCTCCGACTTCGCTGAATGTTTATTTCGCATAAAGCATCTTTATCGGTTCACGAAGTCGTAGATGTCTGATGAGGACCTCAAGGCCGAAACATTTCAAATCTCATCAGGAGTATGTCAAGGAGGAAATGAGATCCCTAATTATTTAATCTCTTCCAAGACTATATACTACGCATATAAGGACACAGATGTAAAGAGATAGGCATTATTCATTTATGTATTCCATAGTACATCCCAAACGAATCTACAAATAGAAAACAGCGTTTATGCTTTCCCATCCGTGTTCAATATACAGAAGACGGGGGGGGGGGTATGCTGATGACATAGGTATACATAAATGGGATATTAATTATCTTGAACAAAAAGTCAACTTCGGCCAAGTTTTCCAAAAATAGGGTTCAAGATACAACTTTACAAAACAGAAACGGTGTTCTTGAGGAATCGGAGAACCGAGTTAGAATTCCAGTCAAATCCATTCCATTCACATACGCGCTAATACCCTTGGGAAAGGTATGAATCTTCTTATCTTCCCTCCCCTGTTGTGGGTAAATAGCAGGAAAGACCAGGTGCTATTAGCCTTGGATGGCAACTGGCCTACTACAGAAAGAAATGGCAACCTACTGCGGGAAGAATCTGTCATGTATCGAAAAACACATGTTCGCCTAAGCGTGTATCACGCATGGCACATAACTTTAATGTCGTATACTCAGTATCCATAATAAAAGATGTAAAACTTTGAAGAAAAGAATACTAAACATTTCAAATACCTTAGCGTTTGGATTAGTTATAACAAATTTGGTACAGGAGATAAGAAAATTGAACATGGAAAATGTTGTGCTAAAAGTAGTTTCACCGAACAGTGCAAATCGCTACAAAACCAAAACATTAGCCTAAAAATGAAAGTAATGTTCTTAATTAGTCACATCAGAGACTTTTAATAGGAACGTCATGAACTGCAACAAACCCAGAAATATCTAAACTTCCAACTGTATGCAACCGCTTTCTCAGAAAAATGATGGCTTCGAGCGAATGAAACTTTTTGACCTTACTGAAGAACATCCTTTTCCGAACCTCGTGGACTGGCGCTACAGTATCACAAACGAAGACTCGTATCAGATAACAGAAACGACATCACTTGAGGACTTCCAACAGTAGTAACAACTAAAATGGATATCACGTGTAACTCGAAGAGAAAATAATTGCATAATCAAGCTTTTGAACTTCTACACTACTTCAAACAATAGTTTAGGAAGGAAACCCTCTTCAGTACTGGAAAAAGCAATAACAACTACTGGAGTTGAGGAAAAAAAAAGAGAAATCTGAAAAATTGCTTTAATAGAAAGATTTTATAACTTATAACTGGTATGATGACTGGCTGATCGGTCACTGAATGCCGATTTTTTCCTTATAAGGAAACTGCTAGTATTACCAATTCACAGTTCTTTTCTGCGACGGTAAATTTCCGGTTTCTTCCACTAAGACATTTTGTAATTGATCTGAATTAGATTCCCAACAGCTGAGCGGGTCGACTGAATAAAGAACAGCATTTATTTTATAAAGACTGAATAATCGGTAACGTTTCACTGGGTGTGGTCGGAGGGTCATTACGGGTGAAATGAGATCATAAGTCATACCCTCATGTCAGGATATTGCAGGCCACATGCATCGCTTCCGGCAAAACAGTAGACTTAAAACTAATCCCTCAGGAGGAATATAGAATTAGTTGTGTGAACAGAAAATGAGTTTACGCTCTAGGTGGATAGATAGAAAATGCACCTGCTTCGTCGATTAGATGATTTCGTATAACCGTTTAGCACTCAAGATGGAGTTCGATCTCAGGTAGGAACTAGAATTTTGATTTTTTTTTTTTTTTTTTTTTTTTTTTTTTTTTAAAGGAAAGCAACATTTCCACACATGAAAGGCTGCTGCAATACAATCTTTTTCGTCCTATTTCTTTATTTGGGTTCTGGCGTATTTTTCTCGCCTAGTTGTAATCTTTAACAAATTTTTTTTTCATACATATTAATCAAACTACCAACAATTAATAAAATCAACGACGTTTCTGAAATTGGCATTCTAAACAAAATTGAATTTTCAGAATTCGTCATGTTAGTTATTTTTAGTCTTCAATACCAAAATACAAAAGACAATTTGTTAACAAGAATATAACAAAATAATTTGTTAACAATCTTAATCTTAAAGAATGGGTTAGAAGTGATAAGTTTCTTATGCTAATACAGCAAAACCTGGATTTAATCCAAGGAAAGAGGATTGTTAATGCTGAAATCCTGAAATGGTCGTTAAATTCGAAAATAAGATTAGAGGCCATTTTTTAATGTAAAAAGATGCCTTAATACACTGTACTGCACAATATAAATTGATCAAATTGCAATAAAGCATTTCAGTGGTACTTAACATTTTCTTCAATGTTTTCACAATAAGATTGACATTAAACAATATATGCACGCACACACATATATATATATATATATATATATATATATATATATATATATATATATATGCACACAGACACAGACAAACACACACATACACACATAAGCTCAAATATATATATATATATATATATATATATATATATATATATGTTAAAATATATATATATATATATATATATATATATATATATATATATATATAATAAAAAACAGACCACTTAAAAGTGGTCTGTTTTATTTAAATTATTTGGTCTGAATTTACATTGAGCTCTCTGGATTTTATCCTCTTAGGCTTACCCATACGGATTACCCTGTTTTTTTATATATATATATATATATATATATATATATATATATATATATATATATATATATATATATATATATATATATATATATATATGATTAAAACGAAAGATGTTCCACATGTGCTTTTATCATAGGTAGATTTAATAGGTCGTTTACGAATAAAAAAGGTAACAAAATTATAACCATAAGATTTATCAAGATGCTGATGAGATATATATATATATATATATATATATATATATATATATATATATGTATGTATCATCAAGATGCTGATGATATATATATATATATATATATATTGTGGAGAAAATAATTATACATATATATATATATATATATATATATATATATATATATATATATATATATATATATATATATATATATATATATATATATATATATATATATATATATATATATATATAATAATTATATATATAATTTATATATATATAATAATAATTATAATTAGGCTATATCGGTTTTGGTTGTAGGTAGACTAGTGTTAAATTTTTTTGTATGGATTTTATCAGTCTTGTTGATATAATTTTCTAATCCATATTTAATCCATATTTGATCCCACTTCATAGATAGATAGATAGATAGATAGATAGATAGATAGATAGATAGATAGATAGATAGATAGATAGATTATATGAGCAATATACTGTGTGCGTTTCAACTTAACCATTTTTATTTCTGTTTGGTCGTATCCATCTGTTGATTGAGGGGATGTTTAGTGGCTGTGAAAGATTTTAGGTGATAGATAGATCGATAGATAGATAGGCTGGACAATTAACTGACTGATTGCTTGATTAATTGACTGAAAGACCACTTTATTGATGATAAAAGACGCACCTATAAAAATGCTATATTTGTTCATTGCCGAATTGTTACAGTTTTTTGTGTTTTTTTTTTTTCGTTTTTCATCTCCTGAACTCCGTGATCCGAAATTTGGTACAAACTACTAACTCCCTGATTTCATTTTATTTCAGTTCTTTTCAATTTATGCGATCGCTTTAAATTCAGTTTCTATACTGTTGCTTCAACTTTGGCTACTCAGCGTGGAGATCAATCTAACGCAAATCAGACGTTCATTTCAGTAGAGCGTTCAATTTTTCTATTTCGTTTTGTCCCCTCCATTTCGCTTTTTTTTTCTCCCATTATACTTTGCTTGGTTTTTTTTTTCTTTTTCTTTTTTTTTGTTATTTCTATCGTAATTTTATTTACTTTATTTTTTATAAGGTTGGTTACACATGGAGAGAAAATTCATTTATTACTCAACTAATACACAGTCTGTTGCATTTCGCTCGCTCTAAGTGGATCGCTCCTCATGTTCTAATTTCTATGTTCTTTCTTTCCTTTCCCGATTGTCTTTCGTTCTCTCTTTCTTTATGTATCTTATCTATTCCGTTATTCTTCCGTCTTCCTTTCCTTTCTTTATTCCTTCCTTCTCTTTCATTCATCTTCTTCCATTTCTTCTCTTTCCTTTCCTCATCATCATAATTCTTTTTCCTTTCACAAATCTCTTCTTTCTTTCTTTCTTTCTTTCTTTCTTTCTTTCTTTCTTTTGTTCGTTCGTTCGTTCTTTCGTTCTTCCTTTCTTTCTCCTGTTCTTCTCTTTCCTTCGTGTCTTCATTACTTACTTCTCACCTATTTAGCTTATTCTTCCACTTCATCACTCTCCTTCAGAATCATCATTCCTTCAGTTTGTCTCTCTCTCTCTCTCTCTTTCTTTCTTTCTTTCTTTATTTATTTATTTTTCTTTCTTTCTTTCTTATTTATTTATGCATTCATTCCTTTTCCCTCATTCGTTTTCTTCTTCCACTTCATCCCTTTTCTTCCCTTATTCTCATAATTCTTCTTCTTCTTCTTCTTCATCCCTCTCCTTCTCTAATCCTCATTCCTTAACCCCGTCTCTCTTTCTTTCATTCATTATATATTTCTTTTTTTGTTTGTTTATTTCTTATTTATTTATTCATTCATTCATTCAACCATTCCCCCTCATTCAACTTCTTCTTCCATTTCCTTCCCTTATCTTCATAAGTCTTCTTCCCTCTCCTTCCCTCATCCACATTCCTTAATCGCGTCTTTCTTTCTTTCTTTTTCTTTATTTCTTTCTTTTTTCTTAATTATTTATTCATTCATTCATTCATTCTCCCTCATTCATCTTCTTACACTTCATCCTTTTCCTTTCCTCATCCTCATAATTCTTCTTCTTCTTCTTCTTCTTCTTCTTCTTCTTCTTCTTCTTCTTCTTCTTCTTCCGAATGTCTTACTTACATTATTACTTACTTCTCCTTCATGTGTCTTCTTTCACTTCATCCTTCTCCTTTCCTCAACCTCTAATTTCGTCTTTCTTTCTTTCTTTCTTCTCTTTTATTTGTCTTTTTCTTTATGACATGATAAATCAAAAATGCATTTCCATTGAATTAACATTTAGATATTTGGTTAATGTACTTAAATTAAAATACTTGGGGATATATGCATGAAACCCATTGTCCAAAAGTTCACACTTCATAGGTTTGTAGTTACTATCAACACCTACGAGGACAAATCAATAATTCCGCAGATAGGCACGTAGTTTTATTTTTATCTCGAAAGTTAACTGCATGAGTGGATACTGAAAAGATTCTTAACCCGACGAACTTCCCAAAATCTGGCCAAATGACAAACAACCAGAAATTGTTTTGGCAACGTATGTTTTTTTTTACTTTTTTTTTTTTTTTGTTTTCTTTTTTTTTTTTGTGGGCTTTTTTTTCTTTTGCATTTTTTGTTTTTGTTTTTTACCTAGCTGAAAACATTTCCGTACACTTCATGTAGTTCAAAAACTTGCATCTATTAGGTTGGTGCAAAAATAATGACGTAATAATGTCGTTTTTTGACGTTAAAAAATACATAAAAAACAACATTATTACGTCATTATTTTTGCACCAACCTAATAAAAAGGTATCTTGTATTGTTCCAGCTGGTACCCGTCCTGGGTATGACGATAAACTACATCTGCGTCCTGAGTAAAACGATTTCTATCGTAATTTTATTTACTTTATTTTTTATAAGGTTGGTTACACATGGAGAGAAAATTCATTTATTACTCAACTAATACACATACTACGTCCAACAGCAAGGCCTCTGAGCAGGAGGTTTTGAGGAGCGTGGAGCCACCTCTTAATTGCTGGTGTTCCCAGGTCCACCCTGACCCGGGGTGGTAGCACCTGTTAGGGCCCCAGCTATGGGCAAATAGTTAACCCCCAAACAGGAGTCAAAACACTATGAAAGTGTAAAATAGATAGAAATAATTTGTAAAAAAAAAATTATTACCAGCAATACATTTTGGAACGAAGAAACATATTACTAGCTATATATATATATATATATATATATATATATATATATATATATATATATATATATATAAAATTACCAGCGAAGGAAAATTATTACCAGAAATAGATTTTGGGGGAAAATATATAACCAGAAATAGATTTTTGGAAAAAAATTATTACCAACAATGAAAATTTTGTCGGCATTAAATAACCCATTGAGTAAAACAAAACAAACCATCTGTGACTCTGTGGATTGATGAAGACTGTGGGAATGTCTGCTTATCACAAGCTAGGACTGAAATGTTACATTAGGATTCGTTTGCAGGGGCATCAAACTGAATATAAATATTATTGCCAAAAGTAGGTCTTGATGTATCTCTTGGCACAGAAGCAATCTAACAACAAGCCTAGTCTTTCCAGGCGTAAGGAGATACATAATATCAACAGTGAATACACTAAACATGAAAATAACCAAAATATCAGGTCATCCCATAAGTTCTGTCCAAATTTTGAATAAAGAAAACAAATGACCAAATGTTACATTTAATTACAGATTCAATTGACAAAGTATTTTCCCTGATTATCTATGACTTCCTTCCATCTATTAACAAGCTTACTAATTCCATTACTGTAAAATTCTTTTGGCTTTGATTCGAAGAACTCACAAATGTCAGTTTTAACCTCTTCCTGTGTTACAAAAGCTGTTTCTTCCAAATGATTCTGCAAGCTACGAAATAAATGGTAGTCTGAAGGAGCAAGATCAGGAGAATAATGTGGATGAGGAATTTTCTCCCAACCAAGTTCTTCGATCTTTTGTGACGATTCTTGCTGTGTGGGGTAGCGCATTGTCCTGATGAAACATCACCCTTTTCGATTCACTAGAGCAGGTCTTTTTTTTCCTCAAAGCTTGGTTTCAAACGCTCTAATTGCTGACAGTATATTTGAGCATTAATTGTTGCATTAGGTGGTAAGAATTCAAAGTGGATTATTCCTTGATCCCACCAGATTGAAAAAGAACCTTTTGCCCATGAAGTTCCCTTCTCGGCTGTGGCTGGGGTCTTTTTCCTTTACCAAGCCACTGTCTACGACGCTAACATTTCGATAAAAAGATCCATTTTTCGTCACCAGTCACAAGTCTATCCAAAAAGGTGAAACAAGTTGGCGAGAATGGAGAGAAGAGCAGATGTCAACTCGGGATTTGAGGTTGTTTTCAGACAATTCATGAGGCACCCATTTTCCAAGTTTGGGAACTTTTCCAAGTTGTTGAAGATGATGAACAGTTGTATGGTTTGAACTGAGAACCACTGCCAATTCCTTAACTGATAAAGCAGGATTTTCTTCAAGGGCTGCTTCAAGAAGCTTTTCATCAAACTCAACCAGACATCCGGTTCGATCTTCATCTTCAAGGGTGAAATCTCCACCTTTGAATTTTGCAAACCATCTTCTGCAAGTTCTTTCATTCACACATTCCTCCCCATAAACTGAGTGAATATTTCTAGCCGCTTCGGCTGCTGAGTTTCCTTTCTTGAACTCATAAAGCATTATGTGCCTCAAATGATTTTTGGGTACTTCCATGTTAGCAGGGTTTTAATCAAACAAAATTTAATTTTATTGTTTTCTGAAATAAAATTTGATCAGTTTAAATGAATCTAAACATAAAAATAATGTTCAGCTCCATTAGACATTATAAAATACTCTTTAAATTTCGTTCATTTTAACAAAAAGTTAAAATTCGGACAGAATTTATGGGATGACCTGATTAGAGAACACTTGATTTGGCAGAAACAGGTGCAAATGTGTAGTTATGGTGCAAAGATTGTTATCTTCAAATCACGAGCTCTGTAATGGTTCTTTAAACCAGAAAAGCTTTTAAAAGTTCTATTACACTGCTGACAAATTTACTCTGTCCGGCTGAGAGCATGGTTTTCTCTGCTTGACAATCTAAAGCACGTTTTTCTCTGCTTAACAATTTAAAGCACGGTTTCCAAGTGGGACCCAAGTTCGTAGCCTGCCAAAGAATGCATATTTTTCTTTAATAAGTTTCCTCTAAGCTTCAGGCTGGTAGACGAAAATAAATGAATATACTGCTTAAAAAAATAAACGGATTGTTTACTTAAATATGGCTATCCACTAAAAATAACGTTTATTTAATGAAATCTGTCGGTTTAATAAATTTAAAAAATTCATCAATATTTTATACATATATTCCGTTATGTTAAGCATCTAAATAGGCCAGGGTTCGGTCACTCCTCCTACCCCAATATAAAGCATGCTTAAGAGAAATATGAAATTAACCCTCCCTATACTCTACCTTGTCTAGTTAACTACAACTATCACCCTCCCTGATAAATTACAAAAATTACACTACCCATCAATTTCTAATCCCATTTTTTTCTTTCATTTCGTTGTTGGAAGTGTTACCTGATGATCCGGAGTCCTTCAAAAGGATCTTGGTGAAATAAATTATTGTAATGGTACCTTAAAGTGGTCTGTTTTTCATTAAATAATTATATATATATATATATATATATATATATATATATATATATATATATATATATATAAAATGTCTTAAAATAATTGTCGGACTTTGTCCATTTCATAATATGTGTATATATATATATATATATATATATATATATATATATATGGTAAGATATATAATCCGGTGTTCTTATTGATATTTTCATTTTTACAAAACAGTACCCAATGTAAATTTACAGAGCATAAATATTATAAATTAACTTATTTAAAAATATGGTTTCATCACTACAAAGGAATTACCATGTTTCTAAAACAGAAACAAAAAAATTCAAATTCAATTATATTAGATTAAAAGCATTATTTATGTTTCATCTTCAAGCGAATTTTGGAATGACTTATTTTAAAATTTACTGAGTTTTAAAAGCACATGCATGTATGTGCTTATAAGTTGTAAAATAAGTCATTCCAACACAAGTTTTTGGTTTCTGTTTTTTCAAACATGGCAATTACTGTGTAGTGATGAAACCATTTTTTAAATAAGTTAATTATATAATATATATATATATATATATATATATATATATATATATATATATATATATATATATATATAAGCCTTTTATGAATTGAGCACTCTGAGTCACTGACGTGTTTATTCTAAAATAAATACGTAAAAATTCACATTTCTCTCTGCTGATAGCTCAGGAGAAAAATCTCAGACTGATGCGAAATCGGTTGGGTTTCGATCCTAGTTTAAGGCAATCGGATGTCTAGTTACACTGTTGAGCTGTTGTAATACAATGAAACAGTCTGCCTGTGGATTATATATATATATATATATATATATATATATATATATATTGTTTAAACGTTATTTTTGGATGCCCATATTTGAGTAGATACACTTTTTTTTTATTAAACAGTATTTGTTCCCATCTACCGGCCTAAATATTCGAAGAATCTTAGAAAAATATGCGTTCTCGGACAGGATTCGGACCTGCTTTCCCCGTTATCTCCACTTCTTCACTGAAAAAAAAAAAAACAGCATGCCATGTTGAAAAAAGAACCAAACTTAATGAAAGCAAATAATTATGTTATTAAAAGCAAAGGCGAAAGTATTTTTTTGATTATTTTATTAAATTTTTAACCCTTTCTAGCATGTTCACAATTTTTGTTAAAAATCTTTTCTTTTTTTGCGTTAACGGTTGTCATAATATTTACGATTAGTGTTTTAGCGCCTTTTTTATGTGAAAAGCACATTGATTTGAAAATTCTTGCAAAAAGCAAATAATTGTCGGATTTTAATGAAACCCTCAAAATCTTGGTAAAAATATATTTTTTTACATACGTTACTTGCACCCCACTTAATTTCATGAAATTTCGAGAAATTAAATTTTCATCGGATTTTTTTTATTTTTATTAGTTAAATATAGGACTCCTTGGAGAATGTAAATAACTTGTTTTTTTTTTCCAACTACTACTCATTTACGAAAATCTGCTACGAATCGTAAAATAAAAAATGCAATAAAACTATGACAT